TATTAATACCAAGATAACCAATTAATACCAATAACCAACAAATTAAATTAAATCGAATTAAAAGACTGTACCAGATCATTTTGAGTATATATAATGCATACGACAGAAGACCAATCTTTGCGTTCGTCTGAAATACAGCGATCGTCGCGTTGCAAGATTGTAACTTGAATGATTGGACTCTGAGAAGACTGGAGACGCGCAATATCGAGACGTTAATAATGAGAAATCTACGCAGTGCATCGACAGCGGTTGTGTAATTAAAACGCCCCGAAAACATGGATTAACGAGAGTACGCGGCTGCGAACCGGTCCACTAATGCGTTTTAATTAGAGGAGAGCGCGACGTGTTACGCGCGGATCACGTGCGCCACCGTCTAATCCACCTTGTTCGAAAAGAGACGAAAAAAATTAATCTGCGTCGTAATTAAACGCAACCAAGGGTCGTCAAAGGGAAGCTCATTCTCACGAGACAAGGATCTTCGTTTCGCGCAGAAATATTTTACGAATTTTTATTTTTACACATTGTGCGCTTTCCACCGAATATTTTAATATCGACTAGCACGAGTGTTTCGCTTACTGTTGGTATAAATTATATATTTACACTTGCAGCACCGAGAGATTGAGCTTCATTGAATTTGAGTTATAGAAATAGGAAGTTACAGAGATTTTCGAGACATTTCTACGAACTCGTGTCGTACTTCCGCACTAATGTGTTTGAAATGTCGTCGTCTTTATGGAAATCTAATGTTTCGCGAATATTCGCAGTTTGAATATAATTAACTTCGGTGCTTGAAAATATCAATATCGTAAATAAAATCCCCTACTAAGAAAATCATCATTTCTCAGCACGCTTCGATTTTAATAATTAGAAGTTAGATCATTACAAATATTTCTTTAAACTACAAAATTACGCGAGACACAATGACGAGAATGAATTTTCGGAATTTCTTTTCGCAGTCCCGATGGTAAAGAGATCGGCTAAAAAAAATTTGCAAAACGAAATGTCGCCCTCGACGGAGTTAAATGATCGTACAACGTCTGATGTACGAACATATAAATTTCCAACGCCGTTCGACGACAACGTGATCGAAAATTCACACAAGACATACGTATATGTATTGCAAACGAATAAAGAAGGAGGAAGATAAGACACGGGAGCGAACGTGTCAAACGTCGAGACGAGATGGGAAAAAAACGTTCGTCGTTCGTCGCTCGTCGTCACTCGAGAGGACATTTGCCTGGCGTCGAGACGCCAGCCCGCCTACGCTCATTTCTCTCTTTCTTTCTCTCTCTCTCTCTCTCTCTCTCTCTGAGTCTTTGCACCCGAGAATTCACGCTCCAGTTACGTGACCGGGTCACGGGGTCGGCGTTACGTGCAAGTTACGATGCGCGAGGATAACTGCCGCCTATCCGACGCCACGTCGGATAAATATCTATGCACTTCTCCTCTCCTCTCTCCTCGTCAGCGATTCGCCTTCGCGCTATCAATCGAGTATCGGCTCGCGATTCGTTCGAGGAGGTTCGCGCGGGAAACGAAGCCTCGATTGGCGCTGCTAGTTTGACCCTACCTGACCGATCGTTGCGACAGAAACACGATAATTTCTATAATTTTTGGTATAACAAAAGCTTGACGTGTACAAGAAAATAGTTCTAAAATGATCGTTTCATTCGATTTTAGACGTAGGTAGTTGCTCGCGAAAGTATTCGAATATTTACGAATATAATTACCTGCATAAATATTGTAAAATATTTGGAAATTTCACTGACATTGTAATGAGACTGAAGTTTGAAGCTCCAAGTATATAAATATATACAAGTATATACACGATACTTAATAGAATTTATATACATAATATTTCGCAGACTATTCGCTACTCATAATGTATATTAAATTTTTACGATAAATATTTTACGTGTTTTCACATGATAATTCTTCTACAACAAGAGTTCGAATACCTTTGTGAGCTACTGTATAACAATTAAAATTAAAGTGTGACTTGTCTAATGATTTTTCGTCAAATTTTACGTATCACAATTTTGCCAGCCACGATCCAGATACACGTAGATTTAATTTGTGTGTTACACAGGCAATGTAAATGTTACACAATTTGTGCAAATATATATACTTTTTATACTTCATATTTTTGGCTTCAACAAAGTTTCATTAACCCTTGGTTATTCTATATCGCTGTATATTTTAGCTATTTTATATTAAAATATTCCATTTTCCTCATAAAGTGTATTTGCCACGTTTCTTTCTCGTGAAAAGGATGTTCTACACAACAATGTGTGTAACTATCGACTAGGGAGATACTTTTATTCTAAAATATGGAATGAAATTCCATTGTCCGCGACTCAGTATCCAAGAAAAATCAAATTGACAGATAAGTAATGTAAAAAGAATCTATGACCTCGTTTCGAAAAAAAGGAGAGAGGCAGAGACAAGAAAATACTTGCCAATGCCATTTCAAAATTGATCTAGCACGCGTGTACTTGACAAATTTTCAACCTCAATTTTCCCAGAAACGGAAATGTCTCGCGAATAAAAAAAAAAATTCGATTCTACATATCCCACTTATTTTCACACGCGGAATAACATTCTCTCTCTCTCTCTCTCTCTCGATTATTCACTCCTGTCCAGTTCGGAATTAACCAAGTACACTCGGCGAATTTTCAAACTCGATTTTCCCCGGGACGAGGCGACATATGAAAAAAAAAGAAAGTATTTCACTCCACGTTCTCAGCTTATTTTCGTACGTAGAACCACCCATGACGGCGGTGTTACTACGTCATACCAGAGGCACGTATGTTTTTCTACCGAAATCCTTGCCCCTGAGGTCTCCCCGTAGGCGGAAAAGGGAACACAAACGAATTATCCCGCTGGTAACCAGGAGTGTCGACAGCGAATTTCCGCGAATTCGACGAGACGCAGGAAACGAGAAGAATTTTACGTGACCGCGGGTTGTTTTTTCTCGTTTTATTCTCTTTCGTCGGGGCCGGCCGGGGGCAAAAATGCGCAGCTACATTTTCAACATTTGTTCTGCGTCGTTATTCTCCGCTTTGGGGTCAGGTAATATCCCCGTTTCTTTTCTCATTTTGCCCTTTCTTCACTGTTGCACGCGAGCGTAATTGGAACGAATCATTTTTCCGACGCGCTGCGCCCCCCCGTAACGTTTCCCACGTACCATTGTATTATATTTTCGATACACAGGAAAACCTCGGTCGTTCTCCGGCGAAACACAGCCCGATTAATGATCGACGTTATTGTCATTAACACGAAACTAGGTGATTAATCGCGATTAACGAGTACAATGGGTAATCAAACTCTTAATCAAGAATGGTAAATCTGATTTAATACATATAGTATGCATATAAAAGTTAATGGTCCTACGATAAACCTGTATTTATAATTAGAAAGTAAAGGAAAAATATCGTACGAATGATAGATTTCTATGAATTTATCGTGACGGGTGCAAGACGAATATCAATGAATGCTCTTGAGTCTAGTCAAGCAATTCAGAGTCATCGAGTTCCTGATTGACGATTCAATCACGCCGTTGAAGAATGCAGACGAGGGATCTGCAAAAATGAAACAAGCCCGGATATCATCGATCGGGTGATTCCTTCACGGCGCGCATCTGAATATTTCAATTTCCCATTAACCTCTTGCGCCGGAATGACGAGAATTTTTTGTCCCAAACTGCAACCGCTTCTCAGTTTCAAGTATATTACAAACGTAGCCCGAGCAAAACGAATAATAAATCGATTACTCCTGAATAATTTCTATCCAGCGATATCGTACCGACGAGTTCGAAAGAAAAAGAAAAACGACGAATTATTGTACACGGTTGGGTCACTCGTTATGGTCCGCGAACCAGTTGCCAGCGCAAGGGATTAATACGGAAAAATCCAGCCCAACGGTCACGGTGATTACGATCGAATTACATTCGGCAAACGATTACGTAAGAAATCAATTGCTGGCCCGACTACCACCGAGATCGATACCCGCGGCACACCGGCGTACACGATCGCGGACAATCGCCGAGCGTGAATTATCGAGAGACTGTCTATCCCCGGTGCAAATAGAATCTAGCGGCTGCTACGATGCAAGCGCGAGGGGTGGGTGGGGAGGGGGCGGCAAAACGGCCCTTAATTCGATGGACGATGCAAAACAAGCGGTAGATTCGATTTGCGGGACCCCCGGCGACCGAGTAAGTCTTCCGCATCGGCCTCGTTCACCACCGGGTTCCCGTGCAACGACCTAGCTATGGAGGATCGATAGCGACTTTTCCAGCTTGGTCAAGGGGAACGAGAACACCGGCTCGTCTTTCTTTTCTTCTTTTTTTTTTTTTTCTTTTTTTCTCCTTCAAATCGAATTACACCTGCCCGAGGGGGGGAAAGGGGAGATTGTTCGAAGCAAACCAACCCCTCCGAGTTAATTAAGTTAAGTCAACCTCGCGTTAGCTGCGAATTAGGGTTACCGAAAGGTAATTTCGTCGCGATATTCACGCGAGAGAAAAGGCTGACGAAAATGGAGGGAAAGAGCAAACGCTGCTACATACAGGGTGATTCACCGATATAGATTTTTCCTTTTTTTTTTTTTTTTTCTTTTTTTGGTTGAAGTTGGGGGAGGATTTTGCAGGGAGGAGATGAGATACATTGATGAGTTTTTTAATAAGTGCAATAATGAATGTGCAGTTTGTAGTTGCACTGTTCAATTTGCGAAAACGTTCCTCTCCTTTGCATGAAATTTGGTTTGAAAGATGCTTTAAATTTTAACTTTGTAAGACCAACTTTGCGAGAGACAGGGAAAGATATACCTTGTCTTTCGTACAATGAAAATATTTTCTAAATTTATTAATTTCAACCGTGTAACTCTAATATCTTTTAAGACTCGGTGTGTTCAGAAACAGCACGAGGTTTCCATGGGAACTGTTGTGCGTGCACGGAGAATGTAATAATAATATTTATTATTATGCAGAACGACGAACGCAACGACAAAAATAAAGAAAGAAACACACTGCTAACGTACGCCACGATATCGAAAGAACGTTGAAGAGCTACATTCGCATACTGATTAGTTAATATAGCATGTATGGCAAAAATTTCCATTTTCATCTCTAGATGATGCGTACAGATTTATTTGTTCTCGAATCCATTCATCTTTCTCAACAAGAAGAAACGCTTGTAAAATTACTGAAAGTGACAGAGAATTGATTTTTCCATCGATAATTTTAAGTTACAAGTATCTTGAACCATTCATCTTCTTGCTGTGATTTCAACCTCCTCTCTAAAAACAAGAAAGGGAGAAAAAAATATAAATATGGTTCGTCAAGGTAGCGTGAATCACCCTGTACCACCATTAGGGTGAGACAAGAATTGACTTTTGAAAAGAACCGTCCACGCAAAAGAGAGCGGCGGCGGCGGCGGCGCGCTTGGTTCGCAAAAGCAACCCTCCTGGACTCAGAACGCGACAGTAAGCGTTCGGTCGATGCAATTACAAGTTCGAATCAAGTTATTTCCGCGAGGCCATCGACTGGCATTTACATACAAATCGGCGACGTGCAAAGCGGCTGATATCGGGCCGATCTGGACAGGCAACCGGGGGTAGAAGGGTGGAGGAAGCATTCCGGATCGCGTTGACGAACGACCGGTGTCGGGCAACGGCCACAATTTATTCAATGACTGGTACTCGTAGCTCGCGATCGATGCCGAAACGAAACGACGTCCCGGTCGATTGCGTAACCGGCACGCCGCGAGGTACGCTCGCTCGATTAAGCATCAACCTGTCACTGATAATTCCGCCGATAATTATGACAGAAACTGAGTCTCCGTTGCATGTCGCATGTGAGGTGAAATTAAAAAAAGTAGCTACAATTTCGTTCGTCAAAGAACGTTTCGTGCAGTGTATTAAGAGTGTATCTCGATGAAACTCGCTGATTACACTTTTTAATGTGTCGTCGTTATGAAGTTGTATTTGGTCCTTCGTTCCTAGCGACGTGGCAAAGTACACACTCACGTGTATGAAGGAAAATATATGTACAGCGACTCGCGAAATTATTTGGATTCTTATCAGAGGAAAACTGTCGCGTATATATTACGCGTGTAACTGACGTTTCATGAATATTGGCAAAACTTAGCACCAATCTGAAAATGTACATAGAAGTTGCAAGCTATTCATTGGCATGAATATCTAAGAATGTAATAAATGTGTTATATGATACAATATTTTTAAATCTGTAGTTGTTTTAAGTCTGTATGAATTATATACTTGTGTCGAGTGTCTCTCATAATTTCTGTATATTTCTACATTTGTTTCAAATTTGATCGATATAATCCAGTCCGACTGCAGTGTTAAATTTCAAGTATATCCATAAAAAAAAAGTTTCTATAAATGGTCGTACACTTTCGTGAGCAACTGTACGCGATAACCAACGCGGGGATTTTGCAGATATCGCGGTCGGTGAACAGCTGTAAACGTGTAACCGCAACCGATTATATAAAATTCTTGGCTGATACTTGTAAAAATAAAATTTGAGATTCTTCTGGGAGAGTGTCGAGGCCGCGATACATAAAATAAATCGACGTTTCTCACGATAAGACACGACGAGAAATCCTTTCTTACCTCCCGAGGAACGCGCGTGTAAACTTCCCCCGCAGTAATCGAATTTCTAAGCGAGAGCCAAGATAGGGTTCTTGATTTCTCGTTAAGGGGGTAGGCTAATCCCCAACTCGAGTGCAAATCGTCTCGCAGAAACTAGTTCCGATACGATCTAATTTCTGTTCTTGCGCCGATCGGTTGGTACCACGCTTCGTTTGAATACGATACGGGGTTTTCTGAAAACTAGGAGATTTCGAAACGAAAAAAATTGCCCCGGGGAAATTGATTCGATTTAGGCGATGGATTTCCAGGATCCTCGGAGGTTCTTGGATATCTCGATATTCCAGATATTACAGAATTCCGGTCAAGAAAAGTGTGTAAATACATGCGTTTCGCAAGTGCAACAAGAAGTGTATTATATGTGTATTTACACATACGTCCCTTTTCCCTTTAAGTGGACCGTGTAATTTTAAATTAATAATTGACGTAATTATTTGTCTGTGAACATCTATTATTATATTGTTAATTAATATGTCACATGTATTATTACATTATTAATTGTATTGCTAAATTAATAACTGTTTTAATATCACTGTCTGTTGACCATTATTATTGTCCCTAATACTGCGGAGAAAAGTTTGCTACTATCCATCAATTTGACACAGATTAAACTTAAATTTCAAAACTGTTAAATTAAAACTGATACACGTTCACTGTGGTATCTCTACTTCTATTTATATTTTTAAATGATTAATGATAAAAAAGAAAGATAGAAATAATATAAATAAATGAGTAATACTAAAATGAAAGATACGCGTGGACTTTTGTACAATTTAAAATTTTGACAACTAAATAGAATTTTGTTTCATCTATTTTAATAAACATTCCATTCACATGTATATATTTTTATACATTATATGCATTCTATGTATTTTTTTCCAATTTCTGCATAAATACACAAAAATCCAAACTCTATTTAAACTAACCCTCAAATACTATCATTGGGTTAAAAGTACTGCTAATTTACGATAGATTACTGAAGTGCAAAATATTTTATTCAACGTCCCCTCCGACGAAGATTAATAATAAAAAACCGAATCAAATTAAAAGTTCAAAAATTAATTCATATAGAACCTAATGCCAATTAAGGATTAAATATTTCGTCTCGCAGGTACGTATTATATATTCTGGTCTGTGTATTAAAAAAAGACGAAAGTTTTTTCTGTTCATAAACCCGAGTCGTCGAAAACTAACTGACCCAAGAACCCAAGTCTGATAGCAATTATCGAATAACAACGTTAACTCGAAAAAAAAAAAAAAGAAAAACGGAAAGAAAGAGTCGGAATGAAATTGTAGAAAGTGGTTCGGAACCGATGGCCGTGTCGTGGCTGGTGAATCGTTTATGCACGAACGGAACGTCATGGACAAGGAGCAGGAAACTGTTGGAGAGTTTACTAACAGTTGGAAAAGTTGTAACTTTACGCGGGGTGCTTGACAATTCATCCAATTAGAAAATTTTTGTCCCGTTTCTCCTCCTCTTCGTTCCAGTTCCCTTTCTTCCCTTCTTCTCTCTCTCTCTCTCTCTCTTTTTTTCGTCAGATTCCCTCTAACTGTCTTCCCAAGGGTGCATTAAAACAGTTTTCGAGTACGTTCGCTCGTACTTGCGCTCGCGCAATAAAACAAGAAACGAACGAACGAGCGAGCAAAGTGAATTTCAGTAACCGGTTTCAGCGCGGCTCTTTGGCCGTATATTTCATCGGTGTGTTTTCCGTGAGCGTATTAACAAAAAACGAAATGGATGTTGGCGACAAGTATGTACGTACCAGCGGCGACTATCTTGAACTTGAAACAGAGAGACAGAGAGAGAGAGAGAGAGAGAAACGAAAAAACGAAAAAACCTGCCCCTGCAAACATTTGACTCCCTGCGGGAGCTCAATGTCCAGTACGCTCGTTGTCTGGCAAGTTTCCCCGGTTGCGAAAAGTGCTTCGTCTTTTTCGTAATTACTTTTCCAACGGCTCGTAATTACGTCCAAAAAGAAGCGCAACGAATTCGAGCGGTGCACGACCCCGGTAAAAGCAGTCGGCCACCGCCGTTATCGCTAATTCGCTATTATGTAACTAAGTTCCACCCCTCGTTCCATCGGGGACGAGGGAAAACTGCTGCGTTCCGCCGTGAGATACATTCAAGCGTTTAAAATATTTTTAACCGCTTTGCAATGTATCTTGCAGAGACTTCTTGGTATAGCGGGATGGGGGAAGATGTAGAGTACAAATACATGTAGTTCTACGTACCTGCGTTCTGTGAATATATCGTTTGCTTAATTTTCGCTGATTTTCCGACATGTGAAACGTATTTTTTTTATTTTTTTTTTATTTTTTTATGTGTATAACACTCACGTAACTTGACAATTGGAATTTTATTTTATATAGTTGTTGCTCCATCGATATAACAGTTATTAGTTTCTAGATTTTGGAGTAATATATAGAGTCGCAATTAACTAATCTTTTCTCTAGAATCCTGTTCTCCTGTGGAAATTCTGCTTACTGAGGGTTAAATATACACTCCCATTCGAAACGTAGAGCATATCAAATAATGATTTCTTTACGTAAATACATATTCCATTTATGACATTATTATCTTGAATTATAATTGCGATATTTTTATTTTTTGGAAGGATGTGTGAATATATTTATTGCATTTACAGAAAAAAACAGAGGGTGCTTCAAACTTTCGAGTGGAGGTGTACCTTGCACGTAAACACGTAACGCGTGCACGTAATATGCAAAAATATAGAAAATATTCGAAGTATGTAGCGGTAACTGGAATATTCACTAAAGCGAGGATAAATTTTGTTTTAATTATCCGCATAAAGATACGAGCTCGCATAAATATACGCGATCAATTTACTAATATACTAATATGTTTTTATTTTGAAAAAATAAATTTTTAATAAAATTGTTCCATTACAAATTTATTAACTCGATAATTCACTACGAAAAATACAACTTTTGCGAATTGTCAATCTTTGCTACCAAATCTCGCAGAAGCAATCTCCATTTACGACACGAAAGGCATTTAAAGCGTGAGCCCTTTTTTTAAAATTTTTATTTTACCAAATCTCAGCCCAATTTCAGCAAAAAGCACGTACGGTCTCGAATTAGAAGCACTTGATATCTTTCATTCTGAGTAAAACGTACACTGCAATATCGTACGCTTTATATTTCCATTATTTGATTGAATTTTCTGAACTTTCGCGACAAATTTCTTAATCAAATCGACAACTCCAAACGCCAATAACAATTCCATTCTCTCACCTGAGATAGACAGCAATGACGACGGGCGGCCTATCCTGCCTAGGATCGGTAACCTTGGACGGATGCAAGAATGCTGGAACGTGTAGCCGAGACCTCGGGTAAAGAGGTCCATGAGGAACCAGTAGAGTAAGCGAATCATCGGCCTTCAGCTCCTTGTAATCGGCCCGATTCGGTGCCAGAGGCACCTGACCGAGCGGCGTGACGGGCTGAATCTGGACTCTCGGCCTGCAGAAGCCAGCCCCAGTGTTGTCAGCGGAGCCACCAGTCTCCTCTGTTCGTGGCTCGAGCACCGAGTAAGCGACCTGCACGAGCCTTGGCAGGCTCTTGGTGACCTTGACCCGGCCGGAAGCGTCCGGTGGAGGTAACGGTGCCCACCAATCGGCAGGTATGGTGATCTGCGCCAAACAGACGCCGTTCTCCCCGTCGGGGCTGCACGCGGCTGTCAGCGCGGAAGCGGACGAAGACGAGGAAGAGGAGGAAGAGGAGGAAGAAGAAGAAGAAGAAGACGACGACGAGGAAGAGGAGTAGGATCTGCCGTTGTTGTTGTTGCTGTTGCTTCTGCTAGCAGCGGTGCTTCTCGACGGAGCAGCCAGGCTCGCGTGCAACACCACGCAGACTCGCTGGTGTCGAGCGAGCAGCAACTGACGCCTTCCGCCTGCCTCGCTTCCGGCGTGAAAGAGCACTCTGAGCACCGGCGAGTCACGAGGCACGCTGTTCCCAACCAGATGAGCGGACATGTCCAGATGACGCGCGCCGAGCTCCTGCGCGTCCAGTATCGTCGCCGCTGTTAGGTTTCGCCTGGTTTCCGGGCCAGGTAAAGCGTCCAACGGGTCTGGGACTATATAGCGAGCTGGCACGGTCTGCTTGGTGCTAAATGGGCCGTAGGTCGCTCGAACGGACACTGGCTCGCTGGTTTGAAAAACTGTGAATTTGTCTCTGGAGAGGACGGAGCCTGGAGGCGGAGACGGCATCCCATTGGACAGTGTTCCCGTTGACGGTGATATCGCTGAGATTGTGTCACCACGGACCGGATAGTACTGCCTCGGTATGTGTTTCAGGAAAAATCCGCCGTCCTTGTTCTCGAAGTGAACCTCCACCGACGCCGCCACGTCTGAAATCAAATTTATATTTACTCGTTAGTACTATACAAGTTTAATCATCCCTATGCGATGCAAGGAAATACAAGTAATTATATCGAGCATTTGTCTTACGATCTTTTCTTTCGTCTTCTCAGGAAATTATTGTAATTATTGTAATTGTCGGATGTAAAAGTATTCTTGCGTGCTTGTTAATCTTTCAATTTAAATCTGAATAGGACTGCAATTTGCTTTCCTTATTTTCATGTCTAAACGAACCACAATTCGTACAGATCCAACAAAAAGATACCTGATAAAAGATCCGAGACGTTATTAGCATAAGTACACACCCTGGCACGTAACACCCGTTGAAAATTATAAACTACACGACTGTGAGACAATAAGATATATAATCGAGGGCAATTAACAAGATTACTGATAACTTTGAACAGGAACGAGGCCAAGCGATTATTAAGACGATAAAATATTACACGATTATAATCCGTTTAACGGGTCAGGAGTAAGAAGAAGGAACACGACGATTAAGAACACGTGCGAATAAATGTTTGAGAATGTGGTAGAAACGGAGAGAAAAATGTTCTTGGAGGACTACATACTTTGGATCAGAGATCGAAAGACAACCACTCGATCGAGGACAACCCACCCACTCGCAAACTTCACGAAGAGTGCTTCCTATCGAATAAGTTGTCTACATAGGCTATCACTTTCGATTAAACTCGTGTCTGAAACACGTATCGCTATTTTTCATATTCTCCAACACGTCCGCTGCACCGTCACGCGTGACAAGCTGAAAATTATAGTGGCGCAAGTCGAAATTTTCGTGAATTTGAGCCGAGTCGCGTAATTTGAACTCTCGAAAGCACCGTGCCGCTGTCGAGTACATGACAAAAGTTTCACAAATTGTAAACTTTATAACTTGTACGCGTTCAGGTGTAGTTTACAAGGCACTTGTTTTTTGTAATTCGACGAGAGAGCGTGCGAAAACTTTTATAACGACGGAAGATCGACTTATTGTTAAATGATTATGATAATCAGCTGTGAAATTAATTCAGATTTAATTTTAGGTACACGTGATGGATATAAATGAATAATATTAATGTTAAATACAAATGACATGTTTATCTCGAAAAGAGAACCTCGAACAATCGTTATCAAAATTTATATAATATAAATATAATGTATTATTAAATACATATGATGAATATTCCATTCCGACCCACGCATGTTAGTACTTCTTTTATCGAATTGTATCTCTATATATATGTAAATTAAATTGGCAAATAATATAATTACGAAAATCTTTTCATCGTGTTCCTGTGTTGTGTTTTACAAAATACTTTGTCTATTCCATTTATGTAGAAACTGAAATTGAAAATAACAGAAGAGAAACACGACAACTCTCTCGTCCAGTCTCTTTTATTGAAAAGCAATTTTAAAATTCAATATCCTATCAACTAGTTTCATATTACCTAGACGATATTTTTATTCGACTGGAAGATTGAATATGTGCGCTTTCTATCTTGACTATTTCACAGACATTTATGAATATCGATTCATTCTAACGTTAGTTATTTTGTGGGTTTAGTGTGGGTTTCGTAGAAATTAGATCGTTATTCGTATTAAAATGCTCTTTATTAATTATCGAGCGATAGAGAGACCAAATTACCCTGCATAAAAAGCATACAACAGATTTCACGTCTTGTACAGATCAATTTTAAAAGTCAATATGTCGTCAATCATTGTCAATCAGTGCCATCTTTCATTTGATTTTGAAATTGAATAAGCGTCTTTTCGAACATTTGAAAACTTTTCTGAACACTTGAAAAATATTGATAACATCAGTTGAGCAAACTAATATTGGTTATTAGAATCAATTTGTTTACTGGAAAATTTAATATGTTCAAAAGATCGTTCCTAACATACTTCCTTTTATCCACTGAACGACATCGAAGGAAGAGAATCGATAAAAATGAAGTTATCATGTTTCTCCTCTGTACATACTCTTCTCAAATAGAGACCTATCGTATCTTCCTCCTGCCATCTTCAAATACATTATACAATCTAAATACCTAAAAAGTTTTATCGAAATGCGCAAATGCGATTCCACATACGCGTTCAGCTTACAACGAGCCAAAATTGATTTCATACGTTCCGGCGTGTGACCGAGCTTTTCTCACGTGAATTTCAAACATTTCAAAGCACTTCGAACAGATATTCCTCATTACGTAATCTAAATGCCCAAAGAATTTCATCAAAATCCATATACAATACCACGACAGATACGAACGTTCCGCTTATGAACGATGCAGAATTAATTTCATATTTTCTCTCTGTCCGATCTTCAAATGGAGATTTATCGTCGTTTTTCCCCAAACACACACGGTGAAAAACACTTTAAACAGATATCTGTCATTATGTAATCTGGCTAGCCAAAGAGTTTCATCAAAATGCACGCGAAACGTACATACGCACGCGCGCCAAAATTAATTTTCACGTTTTCCCTCTGTGATCTTCAAATGTCGTGTTTCTCCTTTCTCCAAATACTTCGAAACATTTTAAACAGATATCCTTCATTATGCAATCTAGATACCCGGGTGAGTTTCATCAAAATCCACGCACGCACGCAGGTATGTTTAACGGGTGATATAACCAGCTGAAATTAATTTCATAGGATCCACTCGGGCGTTTTCCTTAACTTCTTAATAAATCTCCGGCTACAGCGCCGAGTGTTTGTATTAAAAGTAAGTAATCCCGTGAATTTATAGGCCGCGTTAAATTAACATAGAAATGAACACGGCCAAGCACTTTCGACTCCGCGAGTCCACCAACTAGGAACATCGTTTCGTTCGATCCCTCACTGTGTCCGGCTTATTACACGAGGGAATCTCTCTCTCTCTCTCTCTCTCTCTCTCTCTCTGTTTCTTCCTCGACTCTCGAAACTCTCGTGTTCCGATAAAGATTTTCCCAGATAAAAGTTCGAGTGGAAAGTCGTGTAGAAATATCAACGATTTTCCTCGAAACGATGTTATTTTCCTAACTGCACAGTATAGACACAGATAATAACGTTGTATCTGGCTATTGGACAGTACAGTGATCCTTACTTGCAAAAGATTGGTCAAAATTGAATTGTTTCGTTTTATTTTTAATTTACGAATTATGTACAAATATAGTGTCGTACAGTAGACAATACGATAACTATTTATTTTAGTTTACATAACGTTTTCATTCTCTACAGCTTGACATTCTCTAATTAAAAAAAGTAGATACCATTAATTTCATGCGTGTCGGACAATAATTAGTTCAGGAAGCATTTTAACTTTTGATTCCGTAAAATTATACGAGAGACGAAGTGCTTAATCATTCTCTTTCGCGTAACATGTGACTTTAATTGTAACTATTAACTTTAATAATAATTTAGCGAATTACATACACGAGTTAATACCTTTTCACACACAGGATACCGAGCTGCACGCAGAAATTATTCTCTCTACAGATTCCCGTTTCAAACGACACGAGATTCGTTTCTCTAAAGCGCCCCCTTTCTTTCGTCTAAAGAAAAAAAAAGGAATAAAACAAAGTTTGATATAGCCGCTCTACCCCGTCCGCGAGTACCAGTTTAAAAGTTTCAGAATTTTCGCCAGCTCTTTCCACCACCGCTTTCTACCATCGGTAGGAGCGGCGTCGTTTCGATAAATCGAGAGATTCGTTTCGCCAGGCTGATCGAGAGTCACGGGGACAGTCCCGATAAAGCGCAAGTTCGGGGAAATTTCGCCGGGCTGAAACAAAGTTCCGCGTAACTGCTCGATTACGCGCGTTGGAAAGCGGCTCGCACACACAGGTGAGAGCACAAGTTGTAAATCGGCGAGGCGGCGGCGAGGCGTGGCGTGGCACAAGGGTGGCATGGTATGGCGTGGCTCGTGGCGGGTAGCGCGGCTGCGCTCGATCCGGACATAAATTTCCGGGGAAATCCTCCACTAAGCGCCAGCTGCCCGCACACCCTCCTCTCTTGTTGTAAAATGGAGGAAAACGCGTGGAAAGGTGAGGCCAATTCAACTCTGGCCAGCTTATCTTTCGCGTTACTCGTTGCCTCGCTCTTTCACCGTGTAATTTCCTTTTTTCAACTTACACCCTCCTCCCCCCTTCCCCTCGAAAGAGAGAGAGAAAACCGTAAAAAGGATTCGTTTATCTGGCTCGTCAACGTTTCACGGTCGTGTCGTAAGGGTTTGATAGGGTGCGATATTTATTTTCACGTAAACACTGCCAGCAGGTTCTGCTACACGAGATGATTGACGTCGTTTTTTAAACTTCATCGTGCGTACGTGCACGTTGCTTCATTAACAGCGTGACGAATTTTTCTCGCAATAATTGAAAAAAAAAAAAAAAAAACAAATGAAGCTTCAACTATTAAGGATTTTATACTTTCGTCCACAGACATTCCACGTAAATTGGAGAAAATGTATCGGACAACATCGTTGGGTCGCGGACAACTACGAAAATTTCAGCAAATAGCTGAAACCCGAGATATTTGATTTTATTTTACTTTACACGTCACGGACTGATAAAGAGGCTAATTTCGATTGAATAAAAGATCCCGTAATCGGGTAATTTAATAACGGCCAATAATGCAATATGAGCGGAGAGTTAAATCAGGATCCGAGATGGCTGCTCGAGGCAGGAAATTCCCCATTTACCGCGGAGAATTTCGCAAGCGATAGACCGGCGCGTGCAACGGCGCAAGTTCGGGCGTTCAACGCGAGGGCCTCTGATCTTGACTCGACCGGCCGCGTTCGATATTCAACGTCGAGTGATTCATACGAGGTAGCAGCCGGCCCAAGGCACGCCTACAACTCGCGCCGCGGCGTTACGCCTAATCGCGCGCAATTTCTCACCGAAGCCTGGACATTCGTACAGGCAAAAATTTCGTCCGCGCGTGGGCGTTCACGCGAACCGGGCATTACCGTGCCACGATCGTTAATCCACCGCTCAGAAACGCAGCACGCGCGCCACAATAAAA